GAGAAAAAGGGTCGAAGAAGGACGGTCTTCGAAAAGTGAGCACTGATACCAGTCACAATGTTCGAAGAAGGTTGTCTTCGAACATTGTCGACTGGCGCCAGTGAACAATGTTCAGAGAAGGATCGGCTTCGGACGTTGTGGATTCTCGCTCGTCCTCAATGGACGAAGAAGGATGGTCTACGTACATTGTGGACTGGCCCCAGAGAAAAAGGGTCGAAGAAGGACGGTCTTCGAAAAGTGAGCACTGATACCAGTCACAATGTTCGAAGAAGGGTTGTCTTCGAACATTGTCGACTGGCGCCAGTGAACAATGTTCAGAGAAGGATCGGCTTCGGACGTTGTGGATTCTCGCTCGTCCTCAATGGACGAAGAAGGATGGTCTACGTACATTGTGGACTGGCCCCAGAGAAAAAGGGTCGAAGAAGGACGGTCTTCGAAAAGTGAGCACTGATACCAGTCACAATGTTCGAAGAAGGGTTGTCTTCGAACATTGTCGACTGGCGCCAGTGAACAATGTTCAGAGAAGGATCGGCTTCGGACGTTGTGGACTCTCGCTCGTCCTCAATGGACGAAGAAGGATGGTCTACGTACATTGCGGACTGGCCCCAGAGAAAAAGGGTCGAAGAAGGACGGTCTTCGAAAAGTGAGCACTGATACCAGTCACAATGTTCGAAGAAGGGTTGTCTTCGAACATTGTCGACTGGCGCCAGTGAACAATGTTCAGAGAAGGATCGGCTTCGGACGTTGTGGACTCTCGCTCGTCCTCAATGGACGAAGAAGGATGGTCTACGTACATTGTGGACTGGCCCCAGAGAAAAGGGTCGAAGAAGGACGGTCTTCGAAAAGTGAGCACTGATACCAGTCACAATGTTCGAAGAAGGGTTGTCTTCGAACATTGTCGACTGGCGCCAGTGAACAATGTTCAGAGAAGGATCGGCTTCGGACGTTGTGGACTCTCGCTCGTCCTCAATGGACGAAGAAGGATGGTCTACGTACATTCAATGGACGAAGAAGGATGGCTACGTACATTGCGGACTGGCCCCAGAGAAAAAGGGTCGAAGAAGGACGGTCTTCGAAAAAGTGAGCACTGATACCAGTCACAATGTTCGAAGAAGGGTTGTCTTCGAACATTGTCGACTGGCGCCAGTGAACAATGTTCAGAGAAGGATCGGCTTCGGACGTTGTGGGATTCTCGCTCGTCCTCAATGGACGAAGAAGGATGGTCTACGTACATTGTGGACTGGCCCCAGAGAAAAGGGTCGAAGAAGGACGGTCTTCGAAAAGTGAGCACTGATACCAGTCACAATGTTCGAAGAAGGGTTGTCTTCGAACATTGTCGACTGGCGCCAGTGAACAATGTTCAGAGAAGGATCGGCTTCGGACGTTGTGGATTCTCGCTCGTCCTCAATGGACGAAGAAGGATGGTCTACGTACATTGCGGACTGGCCCCAGAGAAAAAGGGTCGAAGAAGGACGGTCTTCGAAAAGTGAGCACTGATACCAGTCACAATGTTCGAAGAAGGGGTTGTCTTCGAACATTGTCGACTGGCGCCAGTGAACAATGTTCAGAGAAGGATCGGCTTCGGACGTTGTGGACTCTCGCTCGTCCTCAATGGACGAAGAAGGATGGTCTACGTACATTGAACATTGGACTGGCCCCAGAGAAAAGGGTTCAGAGAAGAAGGACGGTCTTCGAAAAGATGGACGAGCATTGATACCAGTCGACAATGTTCGAAAAGAAAAAGGATACCAGTCAATGTTCGAACATTGTCGAACAGCGCCAGTGAACAATGTTCAGAGAAGGATCGGCTTCGGACGTTGTGGATTCTCGCTCGTCCTCAATGGACGAAGAAGGATGGTCTACGTACATTGCGGACTGGCCCCAGAGAAAAGGGTCGAAGAAGGACGGTCTTCGAAAAGGAGCACTGATACCAGTCACAATGTTCGAAGAAGGGTTGTCTTCGAACATTGTCGACTGGCGCCAGTGAACAATGTTCAGAGAAGGATCGGCTTCGGACGTTGTGGGATTCTCGCTCGTCCTCAATGGACGAAGAAGGATGGTCTACGTACATTGCGGACTGGCCCCAGAGAAAAGGGTCGAAGAAGGACGGTCTTCGAAAAGTGAGCACTGATACCAGTCACAATGTTCGAAGAAGGGGTTGTCTTCGAACATTGTCGACTGGCGCCAGTGAACAATGTTCAGAGAAGGATCGGCTTCGGACGTTGTGGATTTTCGCTCGTCCTCAATGGACGAAGAAGGATGGTCTACGTACATTGCGGACTGGCCCCAGAGAAAAAGGGTCGAAGAAGGACGGTCTTCGAAAAGTGAGCACTGATACCAGGCCAGTGAACAATGTTCGAAGAAGGGTTGTCTTCGAACATTGTCGACTGGCGCCAGTGAACAATGTTCAGAGAAGGATCGGCTTCGGACGTTGTGGACTCTCGCTCGTCCTCAATGGACGAAGAAGGATGGTCTACGTACATTGCGGACTGGCCCCAGAGAAAAAGGGTCGAAGAAGGACGGTCTTCGAAAAGTGAGCACTGATACCAGTCACAATGTTCGAAGAAGGGTTGTCTTCGAACATTGTCGACTGGCGCCAGTGAACAATGTTCAGAGAAGGATCGGCTTCGGACGTTGTGGATTCTCGCTCGTCCTCAATGGACGAAGAAGGATGGTCTACGTACATTGCGGACTGGCCCCAGAGAAAAAAGGGTCGAAGAAGGACGGTCTTCGAAAAGTGAGCACTGATACCAGTCACAATGTTCGAAGAAGGGTTGTCTTCGAACATTGTCGACTGGCGCCAGTGAACAATGTTCAGAGAAGGATCGGCTTCGGACGTTGTGGGATTCTCGCTCGTCCTCAATGGACGAAGAAGGATGGTCTACGTACATTGCGGACTGGCCCCAGAGAAAAGGGTCGAAGAAGGACGGTCTTCGAAAAGTGAGCACTGATACCAGGCACAATGTTCGAAGAAGGGTTGTCTTCGAACATTGTCGACTGGCGCCAGTGAACAATGTTCAGAGAAGGAGACGTTGAAGGGACTTTTCGCTCGTCCTCAATGGACGAAGAAGGATGGTCTACGTACATTGCGGACTGGCCCCGAGAAAAAAGGGTCGAAGAAGGACGCACTGATACCAGTCACAATGTTCGAAGAAGGGTTGTCTTCGAACATTGTCGACTGGCGCCAGTGAACAATGTTCAGAGAAGGATCGGCTTCGGATCGTCCTCAATGGACGAAGAAGGATGGTCTACGTACATTGCGGACTGGCCCCAGAGAAAAAAGGGTCGAAGAAGGACGGTCTTCGAAAAGTGAGCATTGATACCAGTCACAATGTTCGAAGAAGGGTTGTCTTCGAACATTGTCGACTGGCGCCAGTGAACAATGTTCAGAGAAGGATCGGCTTCGGACGTTGTGGGACTCTCGCTCGTCCTCAATGGACGAAGAAGGATGGTCTACGTACATTGCGGACTGGCCCCAGAGAAAAAGGGTCGAAGAAGGACGGTCTTCGAAAAGTGAGCACTGATACCAGTCACAATGTTCGAAGAAGGGTTGTCTTCGAACATTGTCGACTGGCGCCAGTGAACAATGTTCAGAGAAGGATCGGCTTCGGACGTTGTGGACTCTCGCTCGTCCTCAATGGACGAAGAAGGATGGTCTACGTACATTGCGGACTGGCCCCAGAGAAAAGGGTCGAAGAAGGACGGTCTTCGAAAAGTGAGCACTGATACCAGTCACAATGTTCGAAGAAGGGTTGTCTTCGAACATTGTCGACTGGCGCCAGTGAACAATGTTCAGAGAAGGATCGGCTTCGGACGTTGTGGACTCTCGCTCGTCCTCAATGGACGAAGAAGGATGGTCTACGTACATTGAAGGACTGGCCCCAGAGAAAAAGGGTCGAAGAAGGACGGTCTTCGAAAAGTGAGCGTCCTCAATGATACCAGTCACAATGTTCGAAGAAGGGTTGTCTTCGAACATTGTCGACTGGCGCCAGTGAACAATGTTCAGAGAAGGATCGGCTTCGGACGTTGTGGATTTTCGCTCGTCCTCAATGGACGAAGAAGGATGGTCTACGTACATTGTGGACTGGCCCCAGAGAAAAAGGGTCGAAGAAGGACGGTCTTCGAAAAGTGAGCACTGATACCAGGCACAATGTTCGAAGAAGGGTTGTCTTCGAACATTGTCGACTGGCGCCAGTGAACAATGTTCAGAGAAGGATCGGCTTCGGACGTTGTGGACTCTCGCTCGTCCTCAATGGACGAAGAAGGATGGTCTACGTACATTGCGGACTGGCCCCAGAGAAAAAGGGTCGAAGAAGGACGGTCTTCGAAAAGTGAACATTGATACCAGTCACAATGTTCGAAGAAGGGATTGTCTTCGAACATTGTCGACTGGCGCCAGTGAACAATGTTCAGAGAAGGATCGGCTGGCGCCGGACGTTGTGGATTTCGCTCGTCCTCAATGGACGAAGAAGGATGGTCTACGTACATTGCGGACTGGCCCCAGAGAAAAGGGTCGAAGAAGGACGGTCTTCGAAAAGTGAGCACTCGATACCAGTCACAATGTTCGAAGATCGGGGTTGTCTTCAATGGACGAAGAAACATTGTCGACTGGCGCCAGTGAAAAACAATGTTCAATGTTCGAGAAGGGTTGTCTTCGAACATTGTCGACTGGCGCCAGTGAACAATGTTCAGAGAAGGATCGGCTTGGACGTTGTGGGTCCCGTCCTCAATGGACGAAGAAGGATGGTCTACGTACATTGTGGACTGGCCCCAGAGAAAAAGGGTCGAAGAAGGACGGTCTTCGAAAATGGACGATACCAGTCACAATGTTCGAAGGATTGTCTTCGAACATTGTCGACTGGCGCCAGTGAACAATGTTCAGAGAAGGATCGGCTTCGGACGTTGTCTTCGTCCTCAATGGACGAAGAAGGATGGTGACGTACATTGCGGACTGGCCCCAGAGAAAAGGGTCGAAGAAGGACGGTTCGAGCAGATACCAGTCACAATGTTCGAAGAAGGTCTTCGAACATTGTCGACTGGCGCCAGTGAACAATGTTCAGAGAAGGATCGGCTTCGGACGTTGTGGACTTTCGCTCGTCCTCAATGGACGAAGAAGGATGGTCTACGTACATTGCGGACTGGCCCCAGAGAAAAAAAAAGGGTCGAAGAAGGACGGTCTTCGAAAAGTGAGCACTGATACCAGTCACAATGTTCGAAGAAGGGTTGTCTTCGAACATTGTCGACTGGCGCCAGTGAACAATGTTCAGAGAAGGATCGGCTTCGGACGTTGTGGATTCTCGCTCGTCCTCAATGGACGAAGAAGGATGGTCTACGTACATTGTGGACTGGCCCCAGAGAAAAGGGTCGAAGAAGGACGGTCTTCGAAAAGTGAGCACTGATACCAGTCACAATGTTCGAAGAAGGGGTTGTCTTCGAACATTGTCGACTGGCGCCAGTGAACAATGTTCAGAGAAGGATCGGCTTCGGACGTTGTGGACTCGCTCGTCCTCAATGGACGAAGAAGGATGGTCTACGTACATTGTGGACTGGCCCCAGAGAAAAGGGTCGAAGAAGGACGGTCTTCGAAAAGTGAGCACTGATACCAGTCACAATGTTCGAAGAAGGGTTGTCTTCGAACATTGTCGACTGGCGCCAGTGAACAATGTTCAGAGAAGGATCGGCTTCGGACGTTGTGGACTCTCGCTCGTCCTCAATGGACGAAGAAGGATGGTCTACGTACATTGCGGACTGGCCCCAGAGAAAAAAGGGTCGAAGAAGGACGGTCTTCGAAAAGTGAGCACTGATACCAGTCACAATGTTCGAAGAAGGGTTGTCTTCGAACATTGTCGACTGGCGCCAGTGAACAATGTTCAGAGAAGGATCGGCTTCGGACGTTGTGGATCTCGCTCGTCCTCAATGGACGAAGAAGGATGGTCTACGTACATTGTGGACTGGCCCCAGAGAAAAGGGTCGAAGAAGGACGGTCTTCGAAAAGTGTGATACCAGGCATGTTCAGTGAAGAAGGGTTCAGAGAAGGATCTTCGAACATTGTCGACTGGCGCCAGTGAACAATGTTCAGAGAAGGATCGGCTTCGGACGTTGTGGACTCTCGCTCGTCCTCAATGGACGAAGAAGGATGGTCTACGTACATTGTGGACTGGCCCCAGAGAAAAAGGGTCGAAGAAGGACGGTCTTCGAAAAGTGAGCACTGATACCAGTCACAATGTTCGAAGAAGGGTTGTCTTCGAACATTGTCGACTGGCGCCAGTGAACAATGTTCAGAGAAGGATCGGCTTCGGACGTTGTGGATTCTCGCTCGTCCTCAATGGACGAAGAAGGATGGTCTACGTACATTGCGGACTGGCCCCAGAAAAAAAAAGGGTCGAAGAAGGACGGTCTTCGAAAAGTGAGCATCGATACCAGTCACAATGTTCGAAGAAGGGTTGTCTTCGAACATTGTCGACTGGCGCCAGTGAACAATGTTCAGAGAAGGATCGGCTTCGGACGTTGTGGACTTCGCTCGTCCTCAATGGACGAAGAAGGATGGTCTACGTACATTGCGGACTGGCCCCAGAGAAAAAGGGTCGAAGAAGGACGGTCTTCGAAAAGTGAGAGACTGATACCAGTCACAATGTTCGAAGAAGGGTTGTCTTCGAAAAACATTGTCGACTGGCGCCAGTGAACAATGTTCAGAGAAGGATCGGCTTCGGACGTTGTGGGATTTCGCTCGTCCTCAATGGACGAAGAAGGATGGTCTACGTACATTGCGGACTGGCCCCAGAGAAAAAAGGGTCGAAGAAGGACGGTCTTCGAAAAAGTGAGCACTGATACCAGTCACAATGTTCGAAGAAGGGTTGTCTTCGAACATTGTCGACTGGCGCCAGTGAACAATGTTCAGAGAAGGATCGGCTTCGGACGTTGTGGGATTTCGCTCGTCCTCAATGGACGAAGAAGGATGGTCTACGTACATTGCGGACTGGCCCCAGAGAAAAAGGGTCGAAGAAGGACGGTCTTCGAAAAGTGAGATTTCGAAAAGAGCACTGATACCAGTCACAATGTTCGAAGAAGGGTTGTCTTCGAACATTGTCGACTGGCGCCAGTGAACAATGTTCAGAGAAGGATCGGCTTCGGACGTTGTGGACTCTCGCTCGTCCTCAATGGACGAAGAAGGATGGTCTACGTACATTGTGGACTGGCCCCAGAGAAAAAAGGGTCGAAGAAGGACGGTCTTCGAAAAGTGAGCACTGATACCAGTCACAATGTTCGAAGAAGGGTTGTCTTCGAACATTGTCGACTGGCGCCAGTGAACAATGTTCAGAGAAGGATCGGCTTCGGACGTTGTGGACTCTCGCTCGTCCTCAATGGACGAAGAAGGATGGTCTACGTACATTGTGGACTGGCCCCAGAGAAAAAGGGTCGAAGAAGGACGGTCTTCGAAAAGTGAGCACTGATACCAGTCACAATGTTCGAAGAAGGGTTGTCTTCGAACATTGTCGACTGGCGCCAGTGAACAATGTTCAGAGAAGGATCGGCTTCGGACGTTGTGGACTCTCGCTCGTCCTCAATGGACGAAGAAGGATGGATACCAGTCACAATGTTCGAAGAAGGGTTGTCTTCGAACATTGTCGACTGGCGCCAGTGAACAATGTTCAGAGAAGGATCGGCTTCGGACGGACTCGCTCGTCCTCAATGGACGAAGAAGGATGGTCTACGTAATTGTGGACTGGCCCCAGAGAAAAAGGGTCGAAGAAGGACGGTCTTCGAAAAGTGAGCACTGATACCAGTCACAATGTTCGAAGAAGGGTTGTCTTCGAACATTGTCGACTGGCGCCAGTGAACAATGTTCAGAGAAGGATCGGCTTCGGACGTTGTGGACTCTCGCTCGTCCTCAATGGACGAAGAAGGATGGTCTACGTACATTGCGGACTGGCCCCAGAGAAAAAAAAGGGTCGAAGAAGGACGGTCTTCGAAAAGTGAGCACTGATACCAGTCACAATGTTCGAAGAAGGGTTGTCTTCGAACATTGTCGACTGGCGCCAGTGAACAATGTTCAGAGAAGGATCGGCTTCGGACGTTGTGGACTCTCGCTCGTCCTCAATGGACGAAGAAGGATGGTCTACGTACATTGTGGACTGGCCCCAGAGAAAAGGGTCGAAGAAGGACGGTCTTCGAAAAGTGAGCACTGATACCAGTCGCACAATGTTCGAAGAAGGTTGTCTTCGAACATTGTCGACTGGCGCCAGTGAACAATGTTCAGAGAAGGATCGGGACGTTGTGGACGTTTCGCTCGTCCTCAATGGACGAAGAAGGATGGTCTACGTACATTGTGGACTGGCCCCAGAGAAAAAGGGTCGAAGAAGGACGGTCTTCGAAAAGTGAGCACTGATACCAGTCACAATGTTCGAAGAAGGGTTGTCTTCGAACATTGTCGACTGGCGCCAGTGAACAATGTTCAGAGAAGGATCGGCTTCGGACGTTGTGGACTCTCGCTCGTCCTCAATGGACGAAGAAGGGATGGTCTACGTACATTGTGGACTGGCCCCAGAAAAAAGGGTCGAAGAAGGACGGTCTTCGAAAAGTGAGCACTGATACCAGTCACAATGTTCGAAGAAGGTTGTCTTCGAACATTGTCGACTGGCGCCAGTGAACAATGTTCAGAGAAGGATCGGCTTCGGACGTTGTGGACTCTCGCTCGTCCTCAATGGACGAAGAAGGATGGTCTACGTACATTGCGGACTGGCCCCAGAGAAAAAGGGTCGAAGAAGGACGGTCTTCGAAAGTGAGCACGATACCAGTCACAATGTTCGAAGAAGGGTTGTCTTCGAACATTGTCGACTGGCGCCAGTGAACAATGTTCAGAGAAGGATCGGCTTCGGACGTTGTGGATTCTCGCTCGTCCTCAATGGACGAAGAAGGATGGTCTACGTACATTGTGGACTGGCCCCAGAGAAAAAGGGTCGAAGAAGGACGGTCTTCGAAAAGTGAGCACTGATACCAGTCACAATGTTCGAAGAAGGTTGTCTTCGAACATTGTCGACTGGCGCCAGTGAACAATGTTCAGAGAAGGATCGGCTTCGGACGTTGTGGACTCTCGCTCGTCCTCAATGGACGAAGAAGGATGGTCTACGTACATTGCGGACTGGCCCCAGAGAAAAAAGGGTCGAAGAAGGACGGTCTTCGAAAAGTGAGCACTGATACCAGTCACAATGTTCGAAGAAGGGTTGTCTTCGAACATTGTCGATGGCGCCAGTGAACAATGTTCAGAGAAGGATCGGCTGGACGTTGTGGATTTCGCTCGTCCTCAATGGACGAAGAAGGATGGTCTACGTACATTGCGGACTGGCCCCAGAGAAAAAGGGTCGAAGAAGGACGGTCTTCGAAAAGTGAGCACTGATACCAGTCACAATGTTCGAAGAAGGGTTGTCTTCGAACATTGTCGACTGGCGCCAGTGAACAATGTTCAGAGAAGGATCGGCTTCGGACGTTGTGGACTCTCGCTCGTCCTCAATGGACGAAGAAGGATGGTCTACGTACATTGTGGACTGGCCCCAGAGAAAAAAGGGTCGAAGAAGGACGGTCTTCGAAAAGTGAGCACTGATACCAGTCACAATGTTCGAAGAAGGGTTGTCTTCGAACATTGTCGACTGGCGCCAGTGAACAATGTTCAGAGAAGGATCGGCTTGGACGTTGTGGATTTCGCTCGTCCTCAATGGACGAAGAAGGATGGTCTACGTACATTGCGGACTGGCCCCAGAGAAAAACGAAAAGTGAGACCGATACCAGTCAACAATGTTCGAAGAAGGGTTGTCTTCGAACATTGTCGACTGGCGCCAGTGAACAATGTTCAGAGAAGGATCGGCTTCGGACGTTGGGGATTTCGCTCGTCCTCAATGGACGAAGAAGGATGGTCTACGTACATTGCGGACTGGCCCCAGAGAAAAAGGGTCGAAGAAGGACGGTCTTCGAAAAGTGAGCACTGATACCAGTCACAATGTTCGAAGAAGGGTTGTCTTCGAACATTGTCGACTGGCGCCAGTGAACAATGTTCAGAGAAGGATCGGCTTCGGACGTTGTGGACTCCTCGCTCGTCCTCAATGGACGAAGAAGGATGGTCTACGTACATTGCGGACTGGCCCCAGAGAAAAAGGGTCGAAGAAGGACGGTCTTCGAAAAGTGAGCACTGATACCAGTCACAATGTTCGAAGAAGGTTGTCTTCGAACATTGTCGACTGGCGCCAGTGAACAATGTTCAGAGAAGGATCGGCTTCGGACGTTGTGGACTCTCGCTCGTCCTCAATGGACGAAGAAGGATGGTCTACGTACATTGTGGACTGGCCCCAGAGAAAAGGGTCGAAGAAGGACGGTCTTCGAAAAGTGAGCACTGATACCAGTCACAATGTTCGAAGAAGGGTTGTCTTCGAACATTGTCGACTGGCGCCAGTGAACAATGTTCAGAGAAGGATCGGCTTCGGACGTTTGGACTCTCGCTCGTCCTCAATGGACGAAGAAGGATGGTCTACGTACATTGTGGACTGGCCCCAGAGAAAAAAGGGTCGAAGAAGGACGGTCTTCGAAAAGTGAGCACTGATACCAGTCACAATGTTCGAAGAAGGGTTGTCTTCGAACATTGTCGACTGGCGCCAGTGAACAATGTTCAGAGAAGGATCGGCTTCGGACGTTGTGGATTCTCGCTCGTCCTCAATGGACGAAGAAGGATGGTCTACGTACATTGTGGACTGGCCCCAGAGAAAAGGGTCGAAGAAGGACGGTCTTCGAAAAGTGAGCACTGATACCAGGCACAATGTTCGAAGAAGGGTTGTCTTCGAACATTGTCGACTGGCGCCAGTGAACAATGTTCAGAGAAGGATCGGCTTCGGACGTTGTGGGATTTCGCTCGTCCTCAATGGACGAAGAAGGATGGTCTACGTACATTGCGGACTGGCCCCAGAGAAAAAGGGTCGAAGAAGGACGGTCTTCGAAAAGTGAGACTGATACCAGTCACAATGTTCGAAGAAGGGTTGTCTTCGAACATTGTCGACTGGCGCCAGTGAACAATGTTCAGAGAAGGATCGGCTTCGGACGTTGTGGACTCTCGCTCGTCCTCAATGGACGAAGAAGGATGGTCTACGTACATTGCGGACTGGCCCCAGAGAAAAAGGGTCGAAGAAGGACGGTCTTCGAAAAGTGAGCACTGATACCAGGTCACAATGTTCGAAGAAGGGTTGTCTTCGAACATTGTCGACTGGCGCCAGTGAACAATGTTCAGAGAAGGATCGGCTTCGGACGTTGTGGACTCTCGCTCGTCCTCAATGGACGAAGAAGGATGGTCTACGTACATTGCGGACTGGCCCCAGAGAAAAAGGGTCGAAGAAGGACGGTCTTCGAAAAGTGAGCACTGATACCAGTCACAATGTTCGAAGAAGGGTTGTCTTCGAACATTGTCGACTGGCGCCAGTGAACAATGTTCAGAGAAGGATCGGCTTCGGACGTTGTGGATTCTCGCTCGTCCTCAATGGACGAAGAAGGATGGTCTACGTACATTGCGGACTGGCCCCAGAGAAAAAAGGGTCGAAGAAGGACGGTCTTCGAAAAGTGAGCATTGATACCAGTCACAATGTTCGAAGAAGGTTGTCTTCGAACATTGTCGACTGGCGCCAGTGAACAATGTTCAGAGAAGGATCGGCTTCGGACGTTGTGGATTTCGCTCGTCCTCAATGGACGAAGAAGGATGGTCCTCAATGGACGAAGAAGGAAAATGGTGACTGATACGTCACAATGTTGTCTTCGGACATTGGCCCCAGAGAAAAGGATCGGTCGGACGAAGGACGGTCCTCAATGGACGAAAAGGATGGAGTGGACTGGCCCCAGAGATACCAGTCACAATGTTCGAAGAAGGGTTGTCTTCGAACATTGTCGATGGCGCCAGTGAACAATGTTCAGAGAAGGATCGGCTTCGGACGTTGTGGACTTCTCGCTCGTCCTCAATGGACGAAGAAGGATGGTCTACGTACATTGTGGACTGGCCCCAGAGAAAAAAGGGTCGAAGAAGGACGGTCTTCGAAAAGTGAGCACTGATACCAGTCACAATGTTCGAAGAAGGGTTGTCTTCGAACATTGTCGACTGGCGCCAGTGAACAATGTTCAGAGAAGGATCGGCTTCGACGTTGTGGATTCTCGCTCGTCCTCAATGGACGAAGAAGGATGGTCTACGTACATTGTGGACTGGCCCCAGAGAAAAAGGGTCGAAGAAGGACGGTCTTCGAAAAGTGAGCACTGATACCAGTCACAATGTTCGAAGAAGGGTTGTCTTCGAACATTGTCGACTGGCGCCAGTGAACAATGTTCAGAGAAGGATCGGCTTCGGACGTTGTGGACTCTCGCTCGTCCTCAATGGACGAAGAAGGATGGTCTACGTACATTGTGGACTGGCCCCAGAGAAAAGGGTCGAAGAAGGACGGTCTTCGAAAAGTGAGACTGATACCAGGCACAATGTTCGAAGAAGGTTGTCTTCGAACATTGTCGACTGGCGCCAGTGAACAATGTTCAGAGAAGGATCGCTTCGGACGTTGGGGATTTCGCTCGTCCTCAATGGACGAAGAAGGATGGTCTACGTACATTGTGGACTGGCCCCAGAGAAAAGGGTCGAAGAAGGACGGTCTTCGAAAAGTGAGCACTGATACCAGTCACAATGTTCGAAGAATTGTCGAACATTGTCGACTGGCGCCAGTGAACAATGTTCAGAGAAGGATCGGCTTCGGACGTTGTGGATTTTCGCTCGTCCTCAATGGACGAAGAAGGATGGTCTACGTACATTGCGGACTGGCCCCAGAGAAAAAGGGTCGAAGAAGGACGGTCAATGTTCGAAAAGTGTCTCGAACTGATACCAGTGAACAATGTTCGAAGAAGGGTTGTCGCTCGTTCGAACATTGTCGACTGGCGCCAGTGAACAATGTTCAGAGAAGGATCGGCTTCGGACGTTTGGACTCTCGCTCGTCCTCAATGGACGAAGAAGGATGGTCTACGTACATTGTGGACTGGCCCCAGAGAAAAAGGGTCGAAGAAGGACGGTCTTCGAAAAGTGAGCACTGATACCAGTCACAATGTTCGAAGAAGGGTTGTCTTCGAACATTGTCGACTGGCGCCAGTGAACAATGTTCAGAGAAGGATCGGCTTCGGACGTTGTGGACTCTCGCTCGTCCTCAATGGACGAAGAAGGATGGTCTACGTACATTGCGGACTGGCCCCAGAGAAAAGGGTCGAAGAAGGACGGTCTTCGAAAAGTGAGCACTGATACCAGTCACAATGTTCGAAGAAGGGTTGTCTTCGAACATTGTCGACTGGCGCCAGTGAACAATGTTCAGAGAAGGATCGGCTTCGGACGTTGTGGACTCTCGCTCGTCCTCAATGGACGAAGAAGGATGGTCTACGTACATTGCGGACTGGCCCCAGAGAAAAAGGGTCGAAGAAGGACGGTCTTCGAAAAGTGAGATTGATACCAGTCACAATGTTCGAAGAAGGGGTTGTCTTCGAACATTGTCGACTGGCGCCAGTGAACAATGTGTTCAGAGAAGGATCGGCTTCGGACGTTGTGGATTTCGCTCGTCCTCAATGGACGAAGAAGGATGGTCTACGTACATTGTGGACTGGCCCCAGAGAAAAAAGGGTCGAAGAAGGACGGTCTTCGAAAAGTGAGCACTGATACCAGTCACAATGTTCGAAGAAGGGTTGTCTTCGAACATTGTCGACTGGCGCCAGTGAACAATGTTCAGAGAAGGATCGGCTTCGGACGTTGTGGACTCTCGCTCGTCCTCAATGGACGAAGAAGGATGGTCTACGTACATTGCGGACTGGCCCCAGAGAAAAAGGGTCGAAGAAGGACGGTCTTCGAAAAGTGAGCACTGATACCAGTCACAATGTTCGAAGAAGGGTTGTCTTCGAACATTGTCGACTGGCGCCAGTGAACAATGTTCAGAGAAGGATCGGCTTCGGACGTTGTGGATTCTCGCTCGTCCTCAATGGACGAAGAAGGATGGTCTACGTACATTGCGGACTGGCCCCAGAGAAAAAGGGTCGAAGAAGGACGGTCTTCGAAAAGTGAGCACTGATACCAGTCACAATGTTCGAAGAAGGTTGTCTTCGAACATTGTCGACTGGCGCCAGTGAACAATGTTCAGAGAAGGATCGGCTTCGGACGTTGTGGACTCTCGCTCGTCCTCAATGGACGAAGAAGGATGGTCTACGTACATTGCGGACTGGCCCCAGAGAAAAAGGGTCGAAGAAGGACGGTCTTCGAAAAGTGAGCACTGATACCAGTCACAATGTTCGAAGAAGGGTTGTCTTCGAACATTGTCGACTGGCGCCAGTGAACAATGTTCAGAGAAGGATCGGCTTCGGACGTTTGGATTTTCGCTCGTCCTCAATGGACGAAGAAGGATGGGTCTACGTACATTGCGGACTGGCCCCAGAGAAAAAGGGAAGAAGGACGGTCTTCGAAAAGTGAGCACTGATACCAGTCACAATGTTCGAAGAAGGGTTGTCTTCGAACATTGTCGACGGCGCCAGTGAACAATGTTCAGAGAAGGATCGGAGAAGGATCGTCCTCAATGGACGAAGGTTGTGGACTGGCCCCAGAGAAAAGGGTCGAAGAAGGACGGTCTTCGCTCGTCCTCACAATGGACGAAGAAGGATGGTCTACGTACATTGCGGAAGGACGGCCCTTGGACAGAGAAAATGGACGAAGAACGTACATTGCGGACTGGCCCCAGAGAAAAGGGTCGAAGAAGGACGGTCTCGAAAAGTGAGCACTGATACCAGTCACAATGTTCGAAGAAGGTTGTCTTCGAACATTGTCGACTGGCGCCAGTGAACAATGTTCAGAGAAGGATCGGCTTCGGACGTTGTGGACTTTTCGCTCGTCCTCAATGGACGAAGAAGGCTGGTCTACGTACATTGCGGACTGGCCCCAGAGAAAAAAGGGTCGAAGAAGGACGGTCTTCGAAAAGTGAGCACTGATACCAGTCACAATGTTCGAAGAAGGGTTGTCTTCGAACATTGTCGACTGGCGCCAGTGAACAATGTTCAGAGAAGGATCGGCTTCGGACGTTGTGGATTCTCGCTCGTCCTCAATGGACGAAGAAGGATGGTCTACGTACATTGTGGACTGGCCCCAGAGAAAAAAGGGTCGAAGAAGGACGGTCTTCGAAAAGTGAGCACTGATACCAGTCACAATGTTCGAAGAAGGGTTGTCTTCGAACATTGTCGACTGGCGCCAGTGAACAATGTTCAGAGAAGGATCGGCTTCGGACGTTGTGGATTCTCGCTCGTCCTCAATGGACGAAGAAGGAACGTACATTGTGGACTGGCCCCAGAGAAAAGGGTCGAAGAAGGACGGTCTTCGAAAAGTGAGACTGATAACAATGTTCGAAGAAGGACGGTCTTCGATTGTCGGCGCCAGTGAACAATGTTCAGAGAAGGTCGGACGTTGTGGATCTTCGCTCGTCCTCAATGGACGAAGAAGGATGGTCTACGTACATTGTGGACTGGCCCCAGAGAAAAAAGGGTCGAAGAAGGACGGTCTTCGAAAAGTGAGCACTGATACCAGTCACAATGTTCGAAGAAGGGTTGTCTTCGAACATTGTCGACTGGCGCCAGTGAACAATGTTCAGAGAAGGATCGGCTTCGGACGTTGTGGACTCTCGCTCGTCCTCAATGGACGAAGAAGGATGGTCTACGTACATTGTGGACTGGCCCCAGAGAAAAAAGGGTCGAAGAAGGACGGTCTTCGAAAAGTCCTCAATGGACGAAGAAGCACTACGATACCAGTCACGAAAATGTTCGAAGAAGGGTTGTCTTCGAACATTGTCGACTGGCGCCAGTGAACAATGTTCAGAGAAGGATCGGCTTCGGACGTTGTGGATTCTCGCTCGTCCTCAATGGACGAAGAAGGATGGTCTACGTACATTGCGGACTGGCCCCAGAGAAAAGGGTCGAAGAAGGACGGTCTTCGAAAAGTGAGCACTGATACCAGTCACAATGTTCGAAGAAGGGTTGTCTTCGAACATTGTCGACTGGCGCCAGTGAACAATGTTCAGAGAAGGATCGGCTTGGACGTTGTGGACTCTCGCTCGTCCTCAATGGACGAAGAAGGATGGTCTACGTACATTGCGGACTGGCCCCAGAGAAAAGGGTCGAAGAAGGACGGTCTTCGAAAAGTGAGCACTGATACCAGTCACAATGTTCGAAGAAGGGTTGTCTTCGAACATTGTCGACTGGCGCCAGTGAACAATGTTCAGAGAAGGATCGGCTTCGGACGTTGTGGGACTTCTCGCTCGTCCTCAATGGACGAAGAAGGATGGTCTACGTACATTGCGGACTGGCCCCAGAGAAAAAAGGGTCGAAGAAGGACGGTCTTTGAAAAGTGAGCACTGATACCAGTCACAATGTTCGAAGAAGGGTTGTCTTCGAACATTGTCGACTGGCGCCAGTGAACAATGTTCAGAGAAGGATCGGCTTCGGACGTTGTGGACTCTTCGCCGTCCTCAATGGACGAAGAAGGATGGTCTACGTACATTGTGGACTGGCCCCAGAGAAAAGGGTCGAAGAAGGACGGTCTTCGAAAAAGTGAGCACTGATACCAGTCACAATGTTCGAAGAAGGGTTGTCTTCGAACATTGTCGACTGGCGCCAGTGAACAATGTTCAGAGAAGGATCGGCTTCGACGTTGTGGACTCTCGCCTTTCGTCCTCAATGGACGAAGAAGGATGGTCTACGTACATTGTGGACTGGCCCCAGAGAAAAAGGGTCGAAGAAGGACGGTCTTCGAAAAGTGAGCACTGATACCAGTCACAATGTTCGAAGAAGGTTGTCTTCGAACATTGTCGACTGGCGCCAGTGAACAATGTTCAGAGAAGGATCGGCTTCGGACGTTGTGGGATTCTCGCTCGTCCTCAATGGACGAAGAAGGATGGTCTACGTACATTGTGGACTGGCCCCAGAGAAAAAGGGTCGAAGAAGGACGGTCTTCGAAAAGTGAGCACTGATACCAGTCACAATGTTCGAAGAAGGGTTGTTCGAACATTGTCGACTGGCGCCAGTGAACAATGTTCAGAGAAGGATCGGCTTCGGACGTTGTGGACTTTCGCTCGTCCTCAATGGACGAAGAAGGATGGTCTACGTACATTGTGGACTGGCCCCAGAGAAAAAGGGTCGAAGAAGGACGGTCTTCGAAAAGTGAGCACTGATACCAGTCACAATGTTCGAAGAAGGGTTGTCTTCGAACATTGTCGACTGGCGCCAGTGAACAATGTTCAGAGAAGGATCGGCTTCGGACGTTGTGGATTTCGCTCGTCCTCAATGGACGAAGAAGGATGGTCTACGTACATTGCGGACTGGCCCCAGAGAAAAGGGTCGAAGAAGGACGGTCTTCGAAAAGTGAGCACTGATACCAGTCACAATGTTCGAAGAAGGGTTGTCTTCGAACATTGTCGACTGGCGCCAGTGAACAATGTTCAGAGAAGGATCGGCTTGGACGTTGTGGGATTCTCGCTCGTCCTCAATGGACGAAGAAGGATGGTCTACGTACATTGCGGACTGGCCCCAGAGAAAAAGGGTCGAAGAAGGACGGTCTTCGAAAAGTGAGCACTGATACCAGTCACAATGTTCGAAGAAGGGTTGTCTTCGAACATTGTCGACTGGCGCCAGTGAACAATGTTCAGAGAAGGATCGGCTTCGGACGTTGTGGATTCTCGCTCGTCCTCAATGGACGAAGAAGGCTGGTCTACGTACATTGTGGACTGGCCCCAGAGAAAAAGGGTCGAAGAAGGACGGTCTTCGAAAAGTGAAGCACTGATACCAGTCACAATGTTCGAAGAAGGGTTGTCTTCGAACATTGTCGACTGGCGCCAGTGAACAATGTTCAGAGAAGGATCGGCTTCGGACGTTGTGGACTCGCTCGCTCGTCCTCAATGGACGAAGAAGGATGGTCTACGTACATTGCGGACTGGCCCCAGAGAAAAAAGGGTCGAAGAAGGACGGTCTTCGAAAAGTGAGCACTGATACCAGTCACAATGTTCGAAGAAGGGTTGTCTTCGAACATTGTCGACTGGCGCCAGTGAACAATGTTCAGAGAAGGATCGGCTTCGGACGTTGTGGATTCTTCGCTCGTCCTCAATGGACGAAGAAGGATGGTCTACGTACATTGTGGACTGGCCCAGAGAAAAAGGGTCGAAGAAGGACGGTCTTCGAAAAGTGAGCACTGATACCAGGCACAATGTTCGAAGAAGGGTTGTCTTCGAACATTGTCGACTGGCGCCAGTGAACAATGTTCAGAGAAGGATCGGCTTCGGACGTTGTGGATTTCGCTCGTCCTCAATGGACGAAGAAGGATGGTCTACGTACATTGCGGACTGGCCCCAGAGAAAAGGGTCGAAGAAGGACGGTCTTCGAAAAGTGAGACTGATAACAATGTTCGAAGAAGGGTTGTCTTCGAACATTGTCGACTGGCGCCAGTGAACAATGTTCAGAGAAGGATCGGCTTCGACGTTGTGGATTTCGCTCGTCCTCAATGGACGAAGAAGGATGGTCTACGTACATTGCGGATGGCCCCAGAGAAAAAGGGTCGAAGAAGGACGGTCTTCGAAAAGTGAGCACTGATACCAGAACAATGTTCGAAGAAGGGTTGCCAGTGAACAATGTTCGAACATTGTCGAACAGTGAACAATGTTCAGAGAAGGATCGGCTTCGGACGTTGTGGACTCTCGCTCGTCCTCAATGGACGAAGAAGGATGGTCTACGTACATTGCGGACTGGCCCCAGAGAAAAAGGGTCGAAGAAGGACGGTCTTCGAAAAGTGAGCACTGATACCAGTCACAATGTTCGAAGAAGGGTTGTCTTCGAACATTGTCGACTGGCGCCAGTGAACAATGTTCAGAGAAGGATCGGCTTCGGACGTTTGGATTCTCGCTCGTCCTCAATGGACGAAGAAGGATGGTCTACGTACATTGTGGACTGGCCCCAGAGAAAAAGGGTCGAAGAAGGACGGTCTTCGAAAAGTGAGCACTGATACCAGTCACAATGTTCGAAGAAGGGTTGTCTTCGAACATTGTCGACTGGCGCCAGTGAACAATGTTCAGAGAAGGATCGGCTTCGGACGTTGTGGACTCTCGCTCGTCCTCAATGGACGAAGAAGGATGGTCTACGTACATTGCGGACTGGCCCCAGAGAAAAGGGTCGAAGAAGGACGGTCTTCGAAAAGTGAGCACTGATACCAGTCACAATGTTCGAAGAAGGGTTGTCTTCGAACATTGTCGACTGGCGCCAGTGAACAATGTTCAGAGAAGGATCGGCTTCGGACGTTGTGGACTCTCGCTCGTCCTCAATGGACGAAGAAGGATGGTCTACGTACATTGCGGACTGGCCCCAGAGAAAAGGGTCGAAGAAGGACGGTTCGAAAAGTGAGCACTGATACCAGTCACAATGTTCGAAGAGGGACTCTTCGAACATTGTCGATGGCGCCAGTGAACAATGTTCAGAGAAGGATCGGCTTACGGACGTTTGGACTCTCGCTCGTCCTCAACGGACGAAGAAGGATGGTCTACACATTGCGGACTGGCCCCAGAGAAAAAGGGTCGAAGAAGGACGGTCTTCGAAAAGTGAGACTTGATACCTGATACCAGTCACAATGTTCGAAGAAGGGTTGTCTTCGAACATTGTCGACTGGCGCCAGTGAACAATGTTCAGAGAAGGATCGGCTTCGGACGTTGTGGACTCTCGCTCGTCCTCAATGGACGAAGAAGGATGGTCTACGTACATTGTGGACTGGCCCCAGAGAAAAAGGGTCGAAGAAGGACGGTCTTCGAAAAAGTGAGCACTGATACCAGGCACAATGTTCGAAGAAGGGTTGTCTTCGAACATTGTCGACTGGCGCCAGTGAACAATGTTCAGAGAAGGATCGGCTTCGGACGTTGTGGATTCTCGCTCGTCCTCAATGGACGAAGAAGGATGGTCTACGTACATTGTGGACTGGCCCCAGAGAAAAAGGGTCGAAGAAGGACGGTCTTCGAAAAGTGAGCACTGATACCAGTCACAATGTTCGAAGAAGGGTTGTCTTCGAACATTGTCGACTGGCGCCAGTGAACAATGTTCAGAGAAGGATCGGCTTCGGACGTTGTGGACTCTCGCTCGTCCTCAATGGACGAAGAAGGCTGGTCTACGTACATTGTGGACTGGCCCCAGAGAAAAAGGGTCGAAGAAGGACGGTCTTCGAAAAAGTGAGCAATGTTCTGATCGAACCAGTGGCGCCAGTGAACAATGTTCGAAGAAGGGTTGCTCGTTCGAAGAACATTGTCGACAGAGAAAAGGGTGGCGCCAGTGAACAATGTTCAGAAGAAGGATCGGTCTTCGGACGTGAACAATGCTTCGGACGTTGGATTCTCGCTCGTCCTCAATGGACGAAGAAGGATGGTCTACGTACATTGTGGACTGGCCCCAGAGAAAAGGGTCGAAGAAGGACGGTCTTCGAAAAGTGAGCACTGATACCAGTCACAATGTTCGAAGGGTTGTCTTCGAACATTGTCGACTGGCGCCAGTGAACAATGTTCAGAGAAGGATCGGCTTCGGACGTTGTGGACTCTCGCTCGTCCTCAATGGACGAAGAAGGATGGTCTACGTACATTGTGGACTGGCCCCAGAGAAAAGGGTCGAAGAAGGACGGTCTTCGAAAAGTGAGCACTGATACCAGTCACAATGTTCGAAGAAGGGTTGTCTTCGAACATTGTCGACTGGCGCCAGTGAACAATGTTCAGAGAAGGATCGGCTTCGGACGTTGTGGACTCTCGCTCGTCCTCAATGGACGAAGAAGGATGGTCTACGTACATTGTGGACTGGCCCCAGAGAAAAGGGTCGAAGAAGGACGGTCTTCGAAAAGTGAGCACTGATACCAGTCACAATGTTCGAAGAAGGGTTGTCTTCGAACATTGTCGACTGGCGCCAGTGAACAATGTTCAGAGAAGGATCGGCTTCGGACGTTGTGGACTTCGCTCGTCCTCAATGGACTCGTACGTACATTGTGGAATGGACGAAGAGGAGAAAAGTGAGCATGATACCAGTCACAATGTTCATTGTCTTCGATTGTCGACTGGCGCCAGTGAACCAGAGAAGGATCGGCTTCGGACGTTGGGGGCTCGTCCTCAATGGACGAAGAAGGCTGGTCTACGTACATTGTGGACTGGCCCCAGAGAAAAAAGGGTCGAAGAAGGACGGTCTTCGAAAAGTGAGCACTGATACCAGTCACAATGTTCGAAGAAGGGTTGTCTTCGAACATTGTCGACTGGCGCCAGTGAACAATGTTCAGAGAAGGATCGGCTTCGGACGTTGTGGACTCTCGCTCGTCCTCAATGGACGAAGAAGGCTGGTCTACGTACATTGTGGACTGGCCCCAGAGAAAAAGGGTCGAAGAAGGACGGTCTTCGAAAAGTGAGCACTGATACCAGTCACAATGTTCGAAGAAGGGTTGTCTTCGAACATTGTCGACTGGCGCCAGTGAACAATGTTCAGAGAAGGATCGGCTTCGGACGTTGTGGATTTCGCTCGTCCTCAATGGACGAAGAAGGATGGTCTACGTACATTGTGGACTGGCCCCAGAGAAAAAGGGTCGAAGAAGGACGGTCTTCGAAAAGTGAGCACTGATACCAGTCACAATGTTCGAAGAAGGTTGTCTTCGAACATTGTCGACTGGCGCCAGTGAACAATGTTCAGAGAAGGATCGGCTTCGGACGTTGTGGACTCTCGCTCGTCCTCAATGGACGAAGAAGGATGGTCTACGTACATTGCGGACTGGCCCCAGAGAAAAAGGGTCGAAGAAGGACGGTCTTCGAAAAGTGAGCACTGATACCAGTCACAATGTTCGAAGAAGGGTTGTCTTCGAACATTGTCGACTGGCGCCAGTGAACAATGTTCAGAGAAGGATCGGCTTCGGACGTTGTGGACTCTCGCTCGTCCTCAATGGACGAAGAAGGCTGGTCTACGTACATTGTGGACTGGCCCCAGAGAAAAAGGGGTCGAAGAAGGACGGTCTTCGAAAAGTGAGCACTGATACCAGTCACAATGTTCGAAGAAGGGTTGTCTTCGAACATTGTCGACTGGCGCCAGTGAACAATGTTCAGAGAAGGATCGGCTTCGGACGTTGTGGACTCTCGCTCGTCCTCAATGGACGAAGAAGGATGGTCTACGTACATTGTGGACTGGCCCCAGAGAAAAAAGGGTCGAAGAAGGACGGTCTTCGAAAAGTGTCTTCGAACATTGTCGATACCAGTGAACAATGTTCGAAGAAGGGTTGTCTTCGAACATTGTCGACAGAGGAAAAGGGTGGCGCCAGTGAACAATGTTCAGAGAAGGATCAGAGAAGGGCTTCGGACGTTGTGGACTCTCGCTCGTCCTCAATGGACGAAGAAGGATGGTCTACGTACATTGTGGACTGGCCCCAGAGAAAAAGGGTCGAAGAAGGACGGTCTTCGAAAAGTGAGCACTGATACCAGTCACAATGTTCGAAGAAGGGTTGTCTTCGAACATTGTCGACTGGCGCCAGTGAACAATGTTCAGAGAAGGATCGGCTTCGGACGTTGGGGACTCTCGCTCGTCCTCAATGGACGAAGAAGGATGTCTACGTACATTGTGGACTGGCCCCAGAGAAAAAGGGTCGAAGAAGGACGGTCTTCGAAAAGTGAGCACTGATACCAGTCACAATTGTTCGAAGAGGGTTGTCTTCGAACATTGTCGACTGGCGCCAGTGAACAAAGAAGGATCGGCTTCGGACGAAGGACTCTCGCTCGTCCTCAATGGACGAAAAGGCTGGACGTACATTGTGGACTGGCCCCAGAGAAAAGGGTCGAAGAACAGGACGGTCTTTGAGCACTGATACCAGTCACAATGTTCGAAGAAGGTTGTCTTCGAACATTGTCGACTGGCGCCAGTGAACAATGTTCAGAGAAGGATCGGCTTCGGACGTTGTGGATTTCGCGCCGTCCTCAATGGACGAAGAAGGCTGGTCTACGTACATTGTGGACTGGCCCCAGAGAAAAGGGTCGAAGAAGGACGGTCTTCGAAAAGTGAGCACTGATACCAGGCACAATGTTCGAAGAAGGGTTGTCTTCGAACATTGTCGACTGGCGCCAGTGAACAATGTTCAGAGAAGGATCGGCTTCGGACGTTTGGACTCTCGCTCGTCCTCAATGGACGAAGAAGGCTGGTCTACGTACATTGTGGACTGGCCCCAGAGAAAAGGGTCGAAGAAGGACGGTCTTCTGAGCACTGATACCAGTCACAATGTTCGAAGAAGGGTTGTCTTCGAACATTGTCGACTGGCGCCAGTGAACAATGTTCAGAGAAGGATCGGCTTCGGACGTTGTGGACTCTCGCTCGTCCTCAATGGACGAAGAAGGCTGGTCTACGTACATTGTGGACTGGCCCCAGAGAAAAAGGGTCGAAGAAGGACGGTCTTCGAAAAGTGAGCACTGATACCAGGCACAATGTTCGAAGAAGGGTTGTCTTCGAACATTGTCGACTGGCGCCAGTGAACAATGTTCAGAGAAGGATCGGCTTCGGACGTTGTGGACTCTCGCTCGTCCTCAATGGACGAAGAAGGCTGGTCTACGTACATTGTGGACTGGCCCCAGAGAAAAAGGGTCGAAGAAGGACGGTCTTCGAAAAGTGAGCACTGATACCAGTCACAATGTTCGAAGAAGGGTTGTCTTCGAACATTGTCGACTGGCGCCAGTGAACAATGTTCAGAGAAGGATCGGCTTCGGACGTTGTGGACTCTCGCTCGTCCTCAATGGACGAAGAAGGATGGTCTACGTACATTGTGGACTGGCCCCAGAGAAAAGAGGTCGAAAAGGGTCTTCGAAAAGTGAGCACTGATACCAGGCACAATGTTCGAAAAGTCTTCGAACATTGTCGACTGGCGCCAGTGAACAATGTTCAGAAGAAGGGGATTGTCGACTGGAAGAAGGATCGCCAGTTGTTCGTTGAAGGATCGTTGTCTTCGGCTTCGGACGTTGTGGACTCTCGCTCGTCCTCAATGGACGAAGAAGGCTGGTCTACGTACATTGTGGACTGGGCCCCAGAGAAAAGGGTCGAAGAAGGACGGTCTTCGAAAAGTGAGCACTGATACCAGGCACAATGTTCGAAGAAGGGTTGTCTTCGAACATTGTCGACTGGCGCCAGTGAACAATGTTCAGAGAAGGATCGGCTTCGGACGTTGTGGACTCTCGCTCGTCCTCAATGGACGAAGAAGGATGGTCTACGTACATTGTGGACTGGCCCCAGAGAAAAAGGGTCGAAGAAGGACGGTCTTCGAAAAGTGAGCACTGATACCAGTCACAATGTTCGAAGAAGGGTTGTCTTCGAACATTGTCGACTGGCGCCAGTGAACAATGTTCAGAGAAGGATCGGCTTCGGACGTTGTGGATTCTCGCTCGTCCTCAATGGACGAAGAAGGATGGTCTACGTACATTGTGGACTGGCCCCAGAGAAAAAGGGTCGAAGAAGGACGGTCTTCGAAAAGTGAGCACTGATACCAGTCACAATGTTCGAAGAAGGTTGTCTTCGAACATTGTCGACTGGCGCCAGTGAACAATGTTCAGAGAAGGATCGGCTTCGGACGTTGTGGACTCTCGCTCGTCCTCAATGGACGAAGAAGGCTGGTCTACGTACATTGTGGACTGGCCCCAGAGAAAAAGGGTCGAAGAAGGACGGTCTTCGAAAAGTGAGCACTGATACCAGTCACAATGTTCGAAGAAGGGTTGTCTTCGAACATTGTCGACTGGCGCCAGTGAACAATGTTCAGAGAAGGATCGGCTTCGGACGTTGTGGACTCTCGCTCGTCCTCAATGGACGAAGAAGGCTGGTCTACGTACATTGTGGACTGGCCCCAGAAAAAAAAGGGTCGAAGAAGGACGGTCTTCGAAAAGTGAGCACTGATACCAGGCACAATGTTCGAAGAAGGGTTGTCTTCGAACATTGTCGACTGGCGCCAGTGAACAATGTTCAGAGAAGGATCGGCTTCGGACGTTGTGGACTCGCTCGTCCTCAATGGACGAAGAAGGCTGGTCTACGTACATTGTGGACTGCCCCAGAGAAAAAGGGTCGAAGAAGGACGGTCTTCGAAAAGTGAGCACTGATACCAGGCACAATGTTCGAAGAAGGGTTGTCTTCGAACATTGTCGACTGGCGCCAGTGAACAATGTTCAGAGAAGGATCGGCTTCGGACGTTGTGGACTCTCGCTCGTCCTCAATGGACGAAGAAGGATGGTCTACGTACATTGTGGACTGGCCCCAGAGAAAAAGGGTCGAAGAAGGACGGTCTTCGAAAAGTGAGCACTGATACCAGTCACAATGTTCGAAGAAGGGTTGTCTTCAAACATTGTCGACTGGCGCCAGTGAACAATGTTCAGAGAAGGATCGGCTTCGGACGTTGTGGACTCTCGCTCGTCCTCAATGGACGAAGAAGGATGGTCTACGTACATTGTGGACTGGCCCCAGAGAAAAAGGGTCGAAGAAGGACGGTCTTCGAAAAGTGAGCACTGATACCAGTCACAATGTTCGAAGAAGGGTTGTCTTCGAACATTGTCGACTGGCGCCAGTGAACAATGTTCAGAGAAGGATCGGCTTCGGACGTTGTGGACTCTCGCTCGTCCTCAATGGACGAAGAAGGACTGGATGGTCTGGACGTACATTGTGGACTGGCCCCAGAGAAAAAGGGTCGAAGAAGGACGGTCTTCGAAAAGTGAGCACTGATACCAGTCACAATGTTCGAAGAAGGGTTGTCTTCGAACGTTGTCGACTGGCGCCAGTGAACAATGTTCAGAGAAGGATCGGCTTCGGACGTTGTGGACTCTCGCTCGTCCTCAATGGACGAAGAAGGATGGTCTACGTACATTGTGGACTGGCCCCAGAGAAAAAGGGTCGAAGAAGGACGGTCTTCGAAAAGTGAGCACTGATACCAGTCACAATGTTCGAAGAAGGGTTGTCTTCGAACATTGTCGACTGGCGCCAGTGAACAATGTTCAGAGAAGGATCGGCTTCGGACGTTGTGGACTCTCGCTCGTCCTCAATGGACGAAGAAGGATGGTCTACGTACATGGCCCCAGAAAAAGGGTGTGGACTGGCCCCAGAGAAGGTTGTCTTCGAACATTGTCGACTGGTCAGTGAAAAGAGGTCGGACGAAGGAAGGACGGTCTTCGACTGGCCCCCAGAGAAAAAAAAGTGAGCACTGATACCAGGTCACAATGTTCGAAGAAGGGTTGTCTTCGAACGTTGTCGACTGGCGCCAGTGAACAATGTTCAGAGAAGGATCGGCTTCGGACGTTGTGGACTTCTCGCTCGTCCTCAATGGACGAAGAAGGATGGTCTACGTACATTGTGGACTGGCCCCAGAGAAAAAGGGTCGAAGAAGGACGGTCTTCGAAAAGTGAGCACTGATACCAGTCACAATGTTCGAAGAAGGGTTGTCTTCGAACATTGTCGACTGGCGCCAGTGAACAATGTTCAGAGAAGGATCGGCTTCGGACGTTGTGGACTCTCGCTCGTCCTCAATGGACGAAGAAGGATGGTCTACGTACATTGTGGACTGGCCCCAGAGAAGTTGTCTTCGAAAAAGGGTCGAAGAAGGACGGTCTTCGAAAAGTGAGCACTGATACCAGTCACAATGTTCGAAGAAGGGTTGTCTTCGAACGTTGTCGACTGACGCCAGTGAACAATGTTCAGAGAAGGATCGGCTTCGGACGTTGTGGACTCTCGCTCGTCCTCAATGGACGAAGAAGGCTGGTCTACGTACATTGTGGACTGGCCCCAGAGAAAAAGGGTCGAAGAAGGATGGTCTTCGAAAAGTGAGGAGTGATACCAGTCACAATTTTGAATAAAGATTGTCTATAAAAATATATTGTTGGTCATTTTACTATAAAAATATATTGCTGGTCATTTTGCTATAAAAATGTACTGTTGGTCATTTTGCTATAAAAATATATTGTTGGTCATTTTAATATAAAAATGTACTGTTGGTCATTTTACTATAAAAACGTATTGCTGTTCATCTTAATATAAAAATATATATTGTTGGTCATTTTACTATAAAAATGTATTGTTGGTCATTTTACTATAAAAATGTATTGCTGGTCATTTTACTATAGAAATGTTTTGATGGTCATTTTACTATAAAAATGTACTTTTATACTTTTTTCTAGTGGTATGCTGATTGTCATTTTTCTATGAAATGCATTTTTGCTCATTTTACTATAAAAATGCATTACTGGAAATTTTACTATAAAAATGTACTTTTTTAGTGCTGTACTGTCTAGCACAACACATTTAACCAATTTTCTAATCAGCAAACCTTGTAATTGATTCAATATAATCTTCCCGCATCGTGTCAGCGGAAATATTTGCCCTAGAACGTACAATACAACAACAAAAAAAAAAATGAAATTTAATCGATCAAAGTTGACTGGGAAGTAAGTAGCCGGAACAGAAGAAACAGTTAAAATAAAACCTTTCGGTTACTGATAGGAATTTCAACTGTAAAATGACGAAACATTCTTGCCAAATATAACATTGCACTTAAATTCGTTAAGTCGAGGTACCAAAGAAAGCGATATCTATTTACATAAAAATGTGGCTCAAGGCCAAAATAGGGAAAAAGGACAGTCTTCTTCTGTCTTAGCTAGCCACAAACACTGATCCAAATATATAACAATATTCCTAACACCAAAACAACACATTCTTAGTTACCTTTCTTACTACATCCACCATAATACCTTATTGCCTCCATGAAAATCCTAAGTATTCCCCATATGTACAATTCATTGTCTCTGTGGAGAGGGGAATAAAAGAACAATTTAAAAGCGAAGAGCGATATTTATTTCTGCTATGTACAGAAATGTGGCACAAGGCCAAAATGGGGAATGGGGAAAAGGACAGTTTTCTTCTGTCTTAACTATAAACTTAGCTGGCTACAAACACTGACACAAACATACCCCAATATTCCTTACACCAAAACAACGCATTCTTACTTAACATTCTTACAACATCCAACATGATACCTCATTGTCTCTATGAAAATCCTAACTAGTCCCTATATGTACAATTCAATGTCTATGGGTTAAGAGGAACAAAAGAACAATTTTAAAGTAAAGAGCGATATTTATTCTGCTATGTACAGAAATGTGGCACAAGCCAAAATGAGGTATTGGGAAAAGGACGGTCTTCTTCTGCCTTAATTTTAAACTTAGCTAGCCACAAACACTGGCAAAATCATACAATATTCCTTGCACCAAAACAACGCATTCTTACTTGCCCCTCTTACAACATCCACCATAATACCTCATTGTCCCTATGAAAGTCCTAACTAGTCCCCATATGTACAATTCATTGTCTGTGTGGAGAGGGGAATAAAAGAACAATTTAAAAGCAAAGAGCGATATTTATTTCTGCTATGTACAAAAATGTGGCTCAAGGCCAAAATTGGTAATAGGAAAAAGAACGGTCTACTTCTGTCTTAACAAACATACAACAATATTCCTTATACAAAAACAAAAGATTCTTACTTACCTTTCTTACTACATCTGCCATAATACTTCATTGTCTCCATGAAAGTCCTAACTAAACCCCATATGTAAAATTCATTTTCTGTTGGGTGAGGGGAATGAGACAACAATTTGAAACCTAGCCCCATTTACAATATGAAAACAAAACTATTTACAGGAAGCTAAAGAAAATAATGTCAATAAAAAACAAAAACTACTATCCTTGAATGACGAAAGGTCATCAGAATAATTACCAGGAAAGTATTTATAGAAAAGGTACAG